AGAAACCAAGAAGAAATTGAAAAATGGAAAATGGCAAACTCCGCCCCCAGTGGTATTGGGCTCCTCCCACATATGCCTTTGTATACTACAAGGCTTCATTACTTTAACCATAAGAGTTTGGGCTCGGATGTGCTCTAGATCTTGAGTAATATCAATTTTACCCGAAAAAACCCGAAAAAAACGACATTATTTTCCTGACAACCTAATAGAGCCTTTTCCTAAACATTAAACGCGTTTTCCGACATCTAACAAAAGTCCACAGCACTTGAAAACTCTACGGAAGAATGATGCATAATTGTAGCGAGCTTTACGAAATTGTAAGGTAGACACTTGTAGACCATTGGAGCAACGACGAAAAAAATGAAAAACAAGCATTTATTCAAAAGTATATCTCATTTTTAGATGGTCTTGATTTTGATCAAAAAAATTTGGTGGCCAGCAAAACTGGAGGATCTCTCAGATAGCTGGCAAGCAAATGTTTACACTCAAACGAGCTTCCAGAACATCTCGCGGAACTATTTTCGAATTGCTCCTCAATTTTTATTCCAGAAATATTAAGTTCTGGGTTTTTTACGCGTTGGTATCGAAAAACGTATATGTAAAGTTTTGTATGAATACCAACGCTTTGAAAACTTCTGCAGAAAAAAGCATGTGGTGAACGAAATTTATGGGGGGGGACAGCCAGCATGAACGATAGCTTGTGCCACTTGTATGCGTTGCGTAGGTCAAATATTTTTCGAATTCTACAGTTCTGCAATGATGATATTTAAGAAATTGGAAAAAACACTAGGAGCTTGATGTGCCCTAATTCTTACTGTTCCACACTATTTTCATTACAGTGAAGAACATATCGCTAAAAAAAAATAAGACTTTGGCGTGGCATATTGACAACCGCGGGAGTACAGTATGCTTATTTCCAGCTATCGTTCATCTTGTCTTGGCTACACCCAAATTAATGTATTAAACGAAATTAATTGATTTTGCGTCTAGCCATTCCACGAAGTCCTGTCGGCACCCCAGGCAGACTATATCAACCATCGAGTCTGCTAATTTAAAGAGATTTTGCTGTGAATATTTGAATATTTGATGTCATGTTTTGGGATTACCAGCTATTGTCACTTCTAATCACATCTATACCAGTGCAACTAATTATTGAAATTAGGAGTATGTTCCACGTTTGCTCGTTTTTTTCTTCTCATAGCACCTTTAGTGCACATATGAGCAAAAACAAAAGTAGTGAGAAAAAAACAGTTAGAAAAAGGCCGAAATACAGGGTGTCCCAAAAGTAAGTACACACTTTTCAATCGTCAATATCTCTCTTCCCATAGTGTCTCTTCCCGCCATTCGAGTAACATTCTGTAGAGGAGGCTTCAACTTAGATTTACAGTATTGATCGAATCACCGATCGCTCTTCATTACTGTAGGATTACTGTAGGAACTTCGGCAAAGATTTTAGGCCATTGGAAGCCATCTTCTGCCTCGGAACAAAACTGAACAAGCCAAAAATCTTATACTATGTTAATGGAAGCCACTAATTTTGAGTACGAAATTTCCACTTTACTGTGATGGTTCTTTGCAAAATTATCCCAGGTAAACCGTAATAACCGAATTCCCAGTATTAGTCTGAAATGTGATTGCACCGTCAAAAAAAGCTGAAAACTCGTAAAAAGTCGTGTAGTGGAATCAGCGTGCGCGAAAATCTTAATACACGATTTTTCAGATTTTTTGAAAAAATTTTGTCAGATGGCATATTTCACAGTGGTTCCACGTGCTGGAAGTTCTTACCGTAATCCTACAGTAACGAAGGGCGTTCGTTCATTTGCTCGGTACTGTAAATCTAATTTAAAGCCTCCTCTACACATTGACACTTGACTTGGCCAAAAAAGACCCATTGGAAAGAGAGATATTGACGATTGAATAGTGTGTACTTACTTTTGGGACACCCTGTATGTGGCATATCAAACAGCTCACCTGCTTTCAGTATGAACCGCGCTTACAAACAACTATTGTGGAGTAGAAATTTTGGTGAAATATAATTCAAAAAACGATGGTACAACTCACATTTTGGTATACCACCTAAATTATCGTTCGTTCGCTTTCACTAGAGTGGGCGGACCACTGCAGACATGACATGACATGTAATCGGTCGATAAACCTCCATCCTAGAGCATTGTTTTTTGTACTCTCTCGCCATCCAAAGCCGCCGCGCGTGTACGTAGACAGTGCTCCGCCCACTCTAGCGAAAGCGAGCAAACGATACATTTGAATACATTCAAGTGCCCTTGCAGTGCCGACAACAAAGACGCGTGGAAATCAGCCATGCTTATAGTGAGGAAGATCTTGCGCGTAAAAATGACCACAGAGCACTTCTTCTGCGCCTAGCCAACAGCACTTTTTCAAATTTTGCGCCCAGCTATTCCATGAAGTCCTGTCGGTAACCCAGGGAGAATTTTAACCACCAAGTCTACTAAATGAAAAAGATTTTTAGCGGTGCTTCTCATCCAGAATGTAAATAAGAGACAATGGCAATTATTTGAAGGGTAAACGAGAAGATTACATGAGGGCTGAATAATTCGATTCAGAAGCAAAATGATAGGTGAGCCTACACACGGCACCCAACGACACTACTATTAGAAACTCATTAATTAAATTATTTTAGCGTAACAAACTGAAGAATTATGTATTACTAACTATTACGTATTAATCATATCAAAGAAACCGAAAAACAGAAGGAAACCATTGAAAATGTAGAGGTTTTATTACAAGTCGTCAATTAGCGCGCATGGTGTGCAATTCGCACATTAAGCTGCGAATAACTCGAGATACGTTTCCAAGCGAAAACTGCTCAAGAGGAATATAGAAAGTAATTTTATGTTAGTTTGTCGTATAAGGCATTGTTTTTGAGAAGATCCGAGGCTTCAATTTTTCAAACATCAATCTGACGCAATTCTTCAACCACTGTCGCCATTCCATCTATAATCGACGGTTGACGTATAATTCATGCAGTGTTGACAGCAAATGCCGTAAATAACGGCCACAACACATACATACACAAATTGCGCACCTAAATGCTATTTTTTACGCGCAAATGTTGTCATCACCGCAAGTGAACCTATCAGCCGTCAAATCTACCAGAATACAGAATTTTTTCTTTGCAAGTTTTTTCAATCACTATGGGAGACAAGCAAGCAGGGAAGACAATGTACAGCACATATTTGGTATCAAGAAGGCACAGAGGAAATTTTCATGAGCATTGAGACATAGGGACAAGCCCTAGGTCAGATAAAAAGCTAAGATGGTTGGCAACTGATACATGGGAGTGAGAGAGCTGCGAATTTGCTAAGCGCGCGCTTTCTGCTGCTGATCCATCAAGGATCATAGCTGCAAGAGCGTCTTTTGACAGTGGCGTGGAGTGCCCGGCAAGCTGTCACCGCGCACTCCAAGTGTAACGTAATAAGAGCGCACGGCACGCAGCCGCAGGCAACGCGGATGCGAGTAAAAGTTCCGTGCATCGTCGCGGAGGACGAGTTCTAGGTGGGAGATGTTTGTCTTACCGCCGAACAGGCGCCGTCGAACGCCTAGGTATAGCCGATCGATTGACTGCCTCAACTGAAGCACTAGCGGCTGTATGTGTTGTGTGAGGTGTGTGAGTCAATCAGGTTGAGCCGTCTTGTCATAGCCTCCCCCCCCCCGCGTGTTGTATGCTTGCGGTTGTAATCCACATCTGGTCTATTATTATAATGTTCTTGCGCCTTCGTGAGATTTCTATGATAAAGTGCGCTACTGCAACAATTTTTCACCGCAAGAGGGTACCTCATCAATTTTCTAAGTAACGATCCTAAAAATGTCAACCTATTGAAAGGCTCGAAGACCTTAAAGGCTATCCACTTAAATCTGCAGTTTCCTCGTGCAGAGAGTGATAGTGATTGAGGGGCGGGGGGGGGGATGACACTGCCCAGCGGGAGCCGAAATGACTCGTTCAAGCTCGAAAATTGTCTTCCAACCTCTTGAAGGCAGTGGTTCGGAAAAATTGCGAGTGCGAGCTTTCGCATCGGCTGGCTGCAGGATACTATAACTCCACCCGTTTTGGTGGCAATAGACTGATCAGCTCAGGCAGGCAATCGCGACTCAGTTGGCAATTCCTCGTCCATCTCCCCAAGCGATCTCCAAGACCATGAAAAGCACTTTGTCGAATTTTCAGCCACAGCCCTAGACTCAACGCATCCAGAAGGTTAAGGAGGGATGGAAAGCTCGTAATCTCAATCTTCTCGACTTACTGCTTTTAAAGGCACCGTCCACCCAAATTGGGGTTGGGATTATGATACCTAGCAAATGGGGGGCCCCCAACTGTATGATTGCCCAACTCGCGCTGCCTGAAGTTAATTCCGAACCGAGAAAATTGCTTCGGAAATCGCTTCAGGCCGCGTTCGCGACGCTGGCTCCTCCCCTTTTCGAGTGGGCGTGACGTTCGTCCCGCCCATCCATGCGCGCCCAACCAATCACCGTACCAAAGAAATTGCTCTGAGGGTTCTAAAACGAGGGTCTTTCGTGGTTCTCGCGGATTTTCAATTTGATATTCGGAATCAGGGGTATGAGAAGGCCCTGGAACAGCAAAAACATGGAGGTCGAAATTTTGGGTGGACGATGCCTTTAAAGACAATGGTTCGGCAAAGACCTTTGTCAGATTTTGGTACTATTATGGCAGACTTTCCGTATATCGTAGACCCAACCCATCTTCCATTTCATGGTCTAAGCCCCAAAATCGGGCTTCAAAATTCCACCTCCAACGCTCATTCAAATCAAAGCGGGGCTGCTGGAAATTCGAAACACGATTTCGGGTCCTTAACACTTTCCCTAAAACCCATAGGGCAGACTCGACCGGACACCGCCTTTGAGGAAGTATATTCAAATTCCACTCTGGACAAATTTAACTCTTGCTCAGTACCTTACCTACTTGAACGAACTGACTGACAGCTTCTATAGAGGACTAATAGAAAAAAACGAGTCTTTTATCTACATAGAAACCAATCAAAGGAGAAAAAATAATCTTCAAAAACAGCGATATCTACAGCGCACTACGATGAGATACACAACGATTGCAACTCTCATACCACCGAATTATTGTGCAATTTCTGCCTCGGATCCATCAAGATTTACCACAGTTGGACGTGTTGCTCTTTTACGCTGAAATTCGAAGCGCTTCCTCAAAAATTCTCACAAAAGACAGCATTTAACTCACAGTGCGTATCCAAGTTCCCTCGCGTTCATCATAGGTGTATGCTCGTATTTCGGTCCTAAAATACTTTTATCAAAAACGAAATGCGCGTGCAAGATAACTAACAAAGCTCTCTGTAACAAACTCCATACTCGTGACCGCCATTCGGACGCCTTATGCCTCATGCTCAAGAAAACCCCTTCTCTTTCCTCTTCGTCCGCTCCAAGGCTGAGGTAAAAGCTACAACAAAGATTGCAGTTGACTGACTGCGTGAATCAATGAGAAAGCGATTACACAAGATAATAGTTTATGATCATATGTATATATTTGATTTGTTTGTGTATATGATCATATGTATATATTGCACACAATGTTCGTTAAAAGGTGTCTTCATCCCGAATTCTTACAGAGAAAATCCGACAGGAGTTTGTTCCCGGTATATTTATTTTTGCCCGAGGTACGAATCCAATCTTCAGGTGTTCATAACACTTGAATAGCCGTTGTTCAGCTCAGATTTTCGGTGAGTAGGCATGTTTAGAGGCTGTGGATCGGCAAAATGGACCCTTCTCCAACTTTTGTGGATTTAGGTAGAAGATCCCCAAGTACGCTGTAGCCCAAACCCCACCTGCCAATTCATGCGCTAAGAGCTGATAACGCGCTTCAAAACTCCACCTGCCCCTCTCATTTTTAGTGAGTGGGGAGGGGGGAATGAAGTTATGAAGCCCATTTTCAAGGTTGGCGCATGAAGTGGCAGTTAGGGTTTGGGTTACAGTGTACTCGGGAGTCCACTACCTAAAAATCCACCAGAATCCGAGAAGACGCAACAGTATTCGGGACAGGATACAGACGGCGTATATTGAGCGGAACAGAGCCACGAATATGATCACATACCTAGATCTCCGAACCTCGTCGTTGAATGGGTGCAACAGTTCCTTGTTTCCCAATCCTAAGACATCTGTACCAAAATCTGAAATCATTTTGTTTATTGTCTGCGTAGAATTACATTCTGTCCCAATACGGACATGGCCAAAAGTCAAACCATGCGTGGCCGGACCGCTTCGGTTTTGTGTCACATCTACGTTACTAAAGGTGGTCGGCCCATTTTCTCCGAGCTTTCCGACAAACGTTCAGCGCGCGTACGCATCGCAACCCCTTTGCGTTACAAGCACGCATTTTCAAGCCAACATTTCGGTCTAATCCCAACTGCGATAGAACCGTACTCAGTGCCATTCTTACCAACGAGTGTCCACAGGACTGAGTCTGGCAAATTCTCCAGCCGTCTATCTCTTCCACCAAGGCCGTTGATTCTGATAGCATATTTCTGTATGCATTGTGGTGGATCCGTTATCTGTAACACTTCCAAGCAGGATGCGTTAGGAATTCCCAATGGGACTTACGTCCTCCAAGATGTAACGGTAGAGAGAAGTGATCTGCCGAGAAATGTCCCCACTAGGAGGAATCCAGTCTATTGCAGCATCAACAAGGCGGAGCTACAATGAATGCGCATGAAGGTTTGGGATGGTAACAGGCTACCGTCAAGTCGCTGAACGCACGCATTGGACGCAGATTGCGGAGCACGCGCCGCGTGGCCATATGCATGTGCCAGTAGGTACAAATCGCCACTATAAGTCGTGCCCTTTTGATATTTCAGACGCACCGCGCGGCTTCACAATCTACGGCGATCCGTGCAGTCTACGACTCCATGATATATAAGGCAAAATTACCTGCTTGAAAGGAGGTGGTGCCTCTATGCGACGACTCAAATTTGAACAATTAGAAAGTGATACTGTGCTTCCTGGCACAGATCTCCCCTGAGCATGGAGCTTTCGCGAGAATTGGGCAAACTGCGCACGCATTATATCTCCCTAAAAAGTGCTTTGTTCAGGGCATTGTGAAACATTGTACGTAATAACTAAACTTCTACGAAAAGAAAACATCAAGGCTAATCAAGAATGACGTTCAAGCCCTAAGGATCCACCCACTAACCCTAGGGAAATCAACGTATAAATGAAATGTCAATTACTGAAGGTATGTGTGCCACGTAAACTGTACGTATGACCGCCGATCGTTGGGTCCTGAAGCGATTGCGAGAGACGTCATTCAGAGCTTTCCTCGGCAGTTTTTGTTTGAAGGTGGGAAAAGCTCCTGCATTCATGCAACACTTTCCAAACACAGATATCCTATCAAAGCTACAGTACCCCTTAGTGGTAGTCCCAGGATTTCCGTCCGGAGGGGGGGGGGGGGGGAGAGAACGGCAGAAATTTTTCCGATTGAGGAAGCGCGGGGTTAAACGGCACTCCGAAAAAAATCTTTGAGGCTACCCAGAAATGTGAGGGACCATAACCCGAGGTTTGAAAAGGCGGGGAGAGCGGTGTCAAGCGCCAAGGAGGTTTTCAAAAAGTTCTAGAAATCATTTCAGTCATTTACAAGTATAACAAAGTCATTTGCACTTTTTCAGAACTCAAGTGAGTAACTATAAATTCAACCAAACGGTCGCGTAGAAACCCTTATGTGTTGCAAATCAAGCAGATTTTCAGGTAACGCCTCGGTCTGGGATTCGTATATACAAGCTCACAAACTGCTGGAATTACCGTACACCCAATACTGAGCAGAGACAGATCTCATAATCAGTGATTTTAATTTGAGGCTAGGTTGAAACCCCTCACCAGCTGCTTAGATCTTTGAGACAAAGGGAATTTTCTATGGGGTGAAGGGTGGGTGGGAGGGGGGGGGGGTTGGGGAGAGCAGGGGTACTCTGGAATTACTCGCTTTACCGTTCAATCACCTGCAACTCGTAGGCTGTGAATCCCAGCCGCGCTGCTTCTAGCGCATCTTCTACCGACTCGAGTCCTTCGAAGTCCATGCCAACAACTCCTGTCGCCGCTTTTGAATGAGTGAACCTCTAAAAATAAGCCTATAAAATACATATTCCGTGGCATGACGACTTTGCTCCAAAAATCCCAAGGTTTAGCCAGGGACGAAAGGGAACAGTTTAAGAAGCGGACTTCACCCCGCTTCCGAGTACTTATCATCGCAGGACGCAATACCCGCTCGCGTGCGCTTACCTCTACCTCCAATCTGCCTTCGTTCTGGACTAGAGTTTGAAAATGATAGAAAGGAATAGCTGCCATAGACTGATGGATTAACGGACCTCATATTCTGCTCGGCGGAAAGTTCCGCGTTCCTTTTGTTTTCGAATATACTTTGCGGCTTTGTCCATATGTAAGACATTCTCCATAATGCAGTCAAACAGCGTCTCTGGTTCTGGCGTAATCTCGAATAATTCCGATGGTTCATATGCAGAATATGTATGGTCGAGAGCGCCTTCTGAAATGTGAAAATTCATTGGAGAGATGAAATAAAAATTTTTATGCTCACTCAGGGTTGTATGTACAGCCGGCGGAGATGAAGATGGTAGAGGATCCACGCTTGTCTCACTGGGTCCTGCGAAACCCATCAAATTCTGCAGAAATTTGTGCAATTCTTCTTCGTCAGCGGGAGAGTGATCTTCTAGAAAGGAAAGTACTGATTGCAAAGAAACAAGAAATAAATTCCCAGGCAGTCCGACCTCCAAGACATAATTCTCCAGGACTCGGCTTACGTTGCGACGGCGGTGAGTAGCTGGACATTTGAGATGTCGAGAGCCAAAGCTAAAGTACAAAAAAATTCATGGTGCGATTACCACTAGAGCAACATCATGACTTCATAAATGCACAAACTGATAATGTTGCCGTTATAAGATTTACTCTAGTAAAAAAATCCTTGCTAGAAGAAAACAAAAACAAACTGAAGGTCATGCTGAAAGGACCTAAAATTAAGTCAGTGCAGCCTCTATGCTTATAGCTGTATAACTGAGCTGACCTGGTCACGTTCTGGCTATTCCCTCCCTCAAACCCTCGAGACATGAGCATAGTATCTCGGAACTGGGACGGGTCATGCCCTCGGAGCTGTGTGCGGACGTTGACATCTTCACACATAATAACGACAAACATCCCTAGCATAACACCCACAGCTAAAACCATGGACATGAAAAAGCCAAAAATCATTAATGAACAGTTTAAAAAATCTTTAAAAATTCTGTGCTCACCTTGGAAAATTTCTGGAAGGTTTTCCATGGAAGAACAAATTTTGCATTTTGGTCAAAAATCGCCCGGAGAGACTGGTCCCATGCTGTCTACGAAGCTCGATGTCATTCCAAAAATAGGCTTTACTGTGAGTTTTCTTGTCTACCATACACCTACCGTAGTCAGTCAGGGATTGGTGTAAGCAACTCGGAGCACTGTTGATAATGTTCTAAAGCAGACAAACATGCTTATCATAACAACCACGACTGAAATAAGAGTAGACAAGAATTTTGAGTTTAGAATGGACAAAAGATAGGATTATTGAAACGCATAGAAAAGAGCATTGGAAATCTGCCTACATTTTCAGGAAGAATATATGATTGAGAAGTAAGAAAATGCATTTTTCCAATGAATGAAGCACAAGTTTTGCTCAACACTCTCATTGGACCTTTTCCAGATGCTGAATATACATTCTGACAACATTTTGCCAACCAAGCTCTATCTCGCGGTTGCTCCCATCTCTTACCATATGTCTCCGTAACCCAAAAAGATTTCTCGGTGTAGAAAGGTGGGTGCACTTTTGATAAACTACCCTTCATAGGGAGAAAATGTCTATTTTCGCCTCCCCCAAAGGAACACTTTAGTGCGCTAGATAACCGAAGAAATCGAGCTGTGTGTGCAAATTCAATTTGAGTTTATAAATCAATCGTTTAGCGTAATAAGAAGAGGTTATTCGGTCAGTGTTGAGATCAGAAAGGAGTATACCTGTGATGAACAATCAATTATCGAAAGTTCTCCGTACACTGAAATCGTGATATCTTACTTTGTCAACAATCGCATGCAACTTCTTCAGAACGAAAAATCTCGAGCTTTGTAACAGTATTGTATGCTTAACAATAGGCATGGATTGAAAAAAGAGAGGCAAAAGAAGAATAGAATCACTTGGGCTTTAGTAGTTAATTAACTTAAGGCGACAACCAAATACACGAAATTGTTGCGAAATCAGTGACATAAGATCGAAATAACTTCTTATTCAAACGACTCTTGTGCTTTTGAATTTTTTGAAAAGAATTTTTCCATATTACAGCAAGCAAGAAGTTATAATTAAAACTGATCCTATGCAAACTGCTCAAGGATTAAAGAAGTAACATTTTCTATGACGAGGGCATAATTCGGTACAACTTCTTAGGGTGGTCCTAGATACCATGTCCTTTAGTCGTTGAGTCTCCGGTTTCAACGTCTTTCGGTATCACGCAGCCTGCACCCCAGATCAAACCAACGATCGCTTTTCGTTACCTATAAGGTAAATATCCAGAGGACACGCCGGCGATATAAATCTCATTTGCAAAGCCTAGCCCTTTTCCTCGTAGGGGTTCTTAGCATTTCCAGAAGTCCCCAACTTCTCGGGCCAAAGCGCGGCTCCACCCATCGCTCCTCCCTCTGATTGCTTTCATTCTGATTTGTGCACAGGAAGACGTCCTTCATTGTATTTAAGAATAATAGAGCTGAAATCGAGGAAATGGAACATTTTATAGGTTGCTTTGAGGTTTGGAAGCAGTGTATGAGTTCTATATGACTATGTAGCTGAATCCGCGACATTTCGAGTTATTTCTTATGTTTTCGGATGAATTTGGAACTTCCTGTATCCAGCAAGTGTCCGCTTTTGAGAAAGTTTGTGAAGCTCTATCGCGTTGAATTCAAAACAAGCAGAGTTAGGCGATCCTCCCAATCATGTCCCATGACAGACAAGTTAATCTATTTCACACAAGCTTAAAGTTCATCTGTGATAACCTACTCTATATTTAGCAAATACTCTCGTATTTGGAACTTTTAGCCAACTGTTCACTCACACATGAGACTGAATCTTGTTATTCCAGTACATGGACCATAGGACCAAAATAGAAAAGAACTCGTTCAAGTTCGACCGTCTCTCAATATCGGCATTGTATGATTGATTGTGAATTTTTTTTTGGATCCGATTGATGATCTAAATAGTTGGGAGGAAAACTCGTTGAAATCGCAAATGGGGGCAGAGTAGGAAAGTGTATATGTCTGAATATCCTACAACTCGAAACATTTGATCCTTTCCAGATAGATCCTCCTAATGTTGAGAAGGTAATCTCTCAGTTTTTGTCATGCAAATTCAGATCCTGTTGCTAAATTAGTTCACTTTGATGACCAGTATTTTACAATTGGTAAGAGGATCCTTATTATTCAGAAGACCTAGTTTTCTATAATAGATCGCTCTGCAATTTATTTCTTCTATCTGTTAGGTTGGCTTGAAAGTTCTCGGACATTTTCAGACTAAATTTGCTATTTCTCGAAATTTAATGCATGTACATCCGATAGAGATACCATGCGATAGAGCAAAGCAGTCTCTACAAGACAGTATGCAAAAATTCGCACCAGCTTCAACCCACTGTAAGTTCGCATCCAGAATCTGAGTCGTACTGAAGACTCGAAAAATTGGGAAAATTCATATCTTCGTTTAAAAAATTTTTTACGGTTCTCCAAATTGATCAAGTAAATTGCAAACCACATCAGACACTCGTATGTACCGTTCCTGTATTTTTTCCTCATTTAGAAATCTAAAAGAACGAAAGTTCTCATGCTTATACAAAACGAGGCTACGCTGTTTTCACTTATGTAATTGTATAATACAAGCCCTTAGGCCTAAGGCATACCTTATGCGATTTGGCCAAATCGAGATGTCCACGCAACTTGGATTCTGCCAGATTTTCACAAGTTTGTCGTGGGCTGTTTTCAAAAGCACATGCGCGTAGCGTTTGTAAGTTCTTGCAAACGGATGAAGTTCTGTTTAAAAAAGGGCGTAACGACCAATTAGGAAAGTCGCTTCTGTGCCGAATCGTGCAGCGACGGAAATCGCATAAGGTATGCCTTAGGCCTTAGATTTATAACCGTAAAATTTCAGCTTTCTACAAGCCCTAGATTCCAAAATTTACCGAATTAAGCTCTCCTATTTAGAGTTCCATGTTGAAATCAATAATTTTCGAAAACTGGGACCTGTAGAAAGCTGAAAATTTACATTTATACTTCTAAGGCTTTTACTATACAATTACGTGTGTAGAAACAGCACAGTTTTTTTTAAATAAATCATGCAAATTTCGTTTTCTCAATTTCTAGATGAAGAAAAAATACTAGAAGGGTACATATGAGTGTCTGATGTAATGCAATTTGCTTGAGCAATCTGGGAAATCCGTGGAATTTTTTGGGTGCAGATATGGATTTTTCCCAAATCTTCGAGCATTCAGTACAACTCAAATTCTGGATGCAAACTTACGTTGGGTCGTGGTGCGAGTTTTTGCAAATTGTCTTGTAGAGCTTGCTTTGCTCCATCAAATGGTATCTCTATCAGATGTACATACATTGTATTTCGAGAAAAAAACAGATCTATCCTGAAAATGTCCGAGAACTTTCGAGCCAACCCAATAAAAAGAACGGCGTAGCAGCAGTCTCCACAGCGGGAGTTGCTAGAACCCTCCTGTGGCCGTATTCATCAACGAATCCTGAGGGCAAACCTTACCCACAAAGGTAGGTTTCACCGTCAGAGTTCAGGCCGTATTCATCAAAGAACCCTTGGGAGGGTAGGGTTTACTTCGGAAAGCGACTAACCCGTATGGGTCAACGAACCCTGAGAGTAAATTTAACCCGTGAGGGTTAATCTTACCCTCGAGGGTAAACCTTACCCCAGAGAGCGATTAACTTGTGTTCAAGAACGTGGCTCATCAGGGTAAATTTAACCACCCTAGCACAGAGCAAGATCAGATTCACTCTGACACTACCAAACATCAAAAAAATCTCTCGATGCACTACTCGGTCCTAGCGTACTGTTTTGACAATAAACACATATTCATAATTACTACTATCTCAAACTTTCTATGATCTTTTGTGTTTTCGTTTGTGTTATCATCCGATATTATAGGCCGAGTTGCTATAGTAAAAGATTTAATTTTGAATAAAGTACATGTCCAACTAAGGAGTGAACATCAAGCTCAGTAGCTCAGATAGCATTCGTTGTTCAACAAAGTTTCCTCACTTGAATTTTAGTTCACTACTAACAATTTTTAACACGATCATATTGTCGTAACTCAACCAAATACGCTTTGATTTGAACAATAAGCTACTAAAAAATTCTTATCCTAGTTTTTACAATATCATCAGACGAGACAACAGAGGACTTAACAAACTTGAGATAATATTAATTTACATATATATAAAACTCAAAATTTGTAAGTGTGTTCGTTTGTTCGTTCGTTACAGAAAAGCCACTAAACCGATCCAGCTGAAACTTCGCACACGTATGTTTTCGACCCCGGCGCTGGTTTAGGGCTACTTTTCGCCGCGATTCATTGGGCCCTTTTATCGATTTATTGATTTGTTTTCCCAAATCTAGAAGAATGAAAACGCCATGATCATGCAAGCAGGGGCGGTAGAGTCCATTTCTATCTCAAAGTCGGGAGGATGCGGCAAGTCGTCTCAAAGCGCTTTTTGCGCACGTTTGAAGAATAGAAGCGTAAGTTCATACTTTTATGAGCTAAATTATTGGAGCCTCGGGTGAGGCCGGGACTATCAGCTAGTCAGAAATATGTGTTTGTTGTCAGATAGTATAGTTAGGGCTAAGGTGCATCGAGAGATCACTTTATGTTGGCATGAAGTGTCAGGGTAGAGCTAGCCTTGCTCTATGTTAGGGTTAAATTCACCCTGATGAAGCACGCTCATCAATTTGGGTTAGTCGCTTTCCGAGATTAAACTTACTCTTCAGTGTAAGTTTAACCCCGGAAAGCGATTTACCCGTATTGATGAATGTGATTCATCACGGTAAATCTAACCCTAACATAGAGCAAGGTTAGCGCAGGTTAATCGGTTTTCGGGGTGAGGTTTACCCTCAAGGGTAGATTTAACCCTCGAGGTTATGCCTATCCTGTGCTTCGTTAGTACGGGGTAATTGCTTTCCGGGGTTTAACTTACTCTCTAAAGTAAGTTCTACCCTCGGGTTCGTTAACGAATACGGCCACTGGTTGCGAATGCTA